AATAATAATTACAAACAATATGAAATACAATTTTATAACTTATTTCAAGTCATTGACAACGTTCATAAATCAGAATGCTAAATATACTCATAATATGTGCTATAGAAATGAAACAATTATACAAATTAAGAACGGAAATGAAATTTCATTGCTTTTAAATTAGCAAAGTAATTTATAACATTTCCCAAATTTAATTCAGAATTCAGATGTTGCTCTGATGTTCAACATTAAGTATGGCTATATAATTCAAATAATCTTGTACTATAGAATTCTCAGAAAATTCTTAATAAGTTTTAATTTGGAAAATGATCTGTAGTGGCAACTTTAAGTGGTAATACTAAAAACATCCCTCTACTTGTTATGTAAAACCCCCTTGGGTGGGTGTTAGAATTATTTTTGCACCATAATTTGCAAAAGTAATTTCCATTACATTTTCGTTACTTGGATATAATTCTAATGAAATTACTTAACGCGTTACAAGCAAAGTAACGCCGTTACAGTAATGCGTTACTTTCGTTACGTTACTACCTGTTCAAACATATCTATGCAGCTTATCACTCAGTGATAAGCTGATCGCGCACACCGCACTCATACACACACACACACACATACGAAAGCGACCGCCGATCAGTAACGACCGTACCACCAAGTCGACAGTGCGCCCGTGTGCAGTCCCTGTTAACTTAAAGTCAAGACCACCGTTATCCGTCACCCATCTACCGTCTACCGTCCACCGTTATTGTCACCGTCTACCGTCATCCGTCACCTACTCACCGTCATCCGTCACCTACTCACCGTCTACCTGTACCTGTTTACCATCAACCGTCAGCCGGGACTGCAGCCGCCGTCACGGTTTTTATGTCTATACTTTTATATACCTTATTTATTTATACTCAATTATTGTAGCGTTAGTTAATTATTCCCCTTTGCTGGCCAGCACCTTTTGTGCCACTTATACAACATTTACCTATATTTTTTTCTTGTTTAATAGTAAGCCGCAAACCGGCATTGATTTGTATCTTATCGAGTATGATTTATTGCGTAGCCTTTACCTGACCAAAAAAAATACAGTCCACTTCATCCTTCGATACCAAACATTTGGTCCATCGAGCCTAGGATTATTATTATAGTTCTAAGCGATTGAATTACACCTAGGTACCTATTTGTTAAAAAAAAAAAAAAAAAAAAGTTATTACGTAAGCACCGATAGTTAATAGGCCTGTTAGTATTATATAACTTATTATATAAGAGTGTGAACCAGTGTGCGAGAAATCGTACTTTGGACTTTAGCATCATAACAGGTAAAGACGGTATACGCAGCGCCGCCGTAAACGAAGACAAACCGGATTGCGAACACAACGCGTTGCACATCATCCCATCGTATATTTATACCTCCGTACAAACATATCGCGTAGTAGGTAGCTAAACACATATTAATACGTAATTATAAAAACGATTATAATTATTTAATCAACCATGGGGGTATACGAAGAGGCGAAATTACGTATAGCTAGTCTGCAGTGTAAGGTACAACGCGTACATGATGCGGGGGTGGCAATTGAAGCAGATCCGACCAACAAAACGGCGAAAACCAAGTTTAAAATAATGTATGCGACACTTGAAAGTGTAGCGAATGATTTCGAAACACAGTTAACGATCATTATAAAACATCAATGCAAAGGGCCACCCTCGTCGGACGCAGTTATCGAGGAAAAACTGCGTATGGAATTCGAGGAGAAATATGTGGGGTGTAAAATCTTCGCTGATGAATACCTACCTGAAGCCATGACTGATGCGTCACTTAATAAAACATTTATTGAAACAAAAACCCATGTTAATCCTAATAAGTATTATCCAATCGAAAAATTATCCATACCCAAGTTTGGTGGTGACCCAAAAGAATATATTAGTTTTCGGAACATGTTTGACAAAACAGTAGGGGAAGCAGATATATCGGCGATTTTTAAATTTAGTCACTTAAAATCGTATTTAGTTGGAGAGCCTCTGAGCTTGATAGGGAATTTAATGCTGACCGATAGCAATTATGATCTAGCCTTATCACTGTTAACTGCACGGTATTCAAATCGTCGGGTCATAGCCGGAAACCATATCGAAGAGTTGTATAATGCTCCGAAAGCATTTATTAGCGATGGAAGTTCTATCAGAAAACTATTGAATATTATTGTCGAGTCAATCGGTGCGTTATCCAATCTATCATACGCAGTGGACCAATGGGACCCGATTATTTTACATTTACTTCAAAAAAAACTCGACCAACCACTTCGATCCCAATGGGAATTATTGGTGGATACAACGGAAGATCCCACCGTGACAGAGTTCACTACTTTTTTGACTAAGTATTGCAAATCTGCAACCGTTTGTCAAGAAATCACCAAACCGGTAACCAAAGTTTACAAACCAGGAAAAACGACCACCCTGTTCAGTAATCATCATGCAGGAAAAGCCACGCCAGAACAATTAGAGAAAAAGACATTTACCTGCCAAGTGTGCAAAAGTCAACCAGGACATTTGCTCATACATTGTCCACTGTTCAAGGAGAAAACGCCGACCGAACGCCATCAAATTATTAAGGATTTGGGGCGATGTTTTAATTGTTTTAGTGCGCACATGGCTAGTGAATGTAAAAATCCAAGGAAATGTGCTGAATGTGGTAAAAAACACCATTCCTTAGTACATCTTCCTAACGCGGTAGAAACAGTCACTTCTGCACATATTACTGTCGCGGCATCTGAGACAAAAGGTCTTCGTACGTCTGTTCTGTTGGCGACCGCTGCAGTAATTATTCAAAGTGAGAATGGAGAGACCATCAAGGTGAGAGCTCTGCTAGACAGTGCAAGTCAAAGCAGTTTCATCACTGAACGATGCGTAAAGTGTCTAGGTTTAACTCGAGGAAAGTGTGACATTACAGTGCAGGCTCTATCTGGTACCCAAGTTCCAATGGTGAGAGGACGCGCTAACGTGAACGTGCATCCGGTTGATTGTGACAGCCCACACTTTAACGTTGATGTTCTCATCTTACAACGTATCACTGGTTCTGTTCCATCGGAACGTATGTGGGAAAAAGCGTGGCCTCATACAGGTGGTTTGAAGTTAGCCGACCCGGAGTACGCTCAAGCACTACCGATCGATTTGTTGCTGGGTGCAGATGTTTTTCCATACCTCATATTGGGAGATAAAAAAGAGGGTGACGTTGGTCAGCCGATAGCCTTGTCAACCGTTTTTGGATGGGTCCTCATGGGAAAAGTGTCTACTGCGCCGAAAAGCAAAATCGTAACCCTATGTGCGACCACCGATTCCATCGATCGAACTCTGCAGCGGTTTTTAGACATCGAAGATATACCAACAGCCGTTAAAAGTAACATTGGTGATGCGGAATGCGAAGAAATATATCGTTCAAGTACCACGCGTCAACCAGATGGACGATATGTTGTGCATTTACCGTTTACACAATATCCGCCATTTCTGGGGAAATCCAAAGATGTGGGTTTAAATCGCTTACGTCAGTTAGAAAACCGATTTAAGAAATCATCAGAACTTCACAGTGATTATAACAACGCCATGAAAGATTATTTGGATTCAGGTCACATGTCTAGAGTGACCGTCAATCTGGGAAAAGAGGAAAACGCCTATTATATCCCTCACCAAGCTGTCTTGAGACCGAAGAGTACCACCACGAAAATGAGAATAGTGTTTGATGCATCTGCAAAGACGACCACAGGTTGCTCACTGAACGATAAGCTTTTCTGTGGCAAAAAACTTCAACAAGACTTACCAGCCATTATACTACGTTTTCGGTTACACCCTGTGGTATTTACCGCGGACATAAAACAAATGTTTCGTCAAGTGGTTGTCACAGAAGAACACCGACCTTACCAACGATTATTATATCGATTTTCTTTGGACGTACCCGTGGAAGAATTTCAAATGAACACTTTAACGTTTGGACAAAAATCGTCTCCATTCCTAGCCATTCGGACTTTACACCAATTAGTGGAGGACGAAGCGGCAAACGATAAACATGTACAAAAGGTTGTATTACACGATTTGTACGTCGACGATGTAGTCACAGGTGCCGAGACCGAAGACGCGGCGATTGAGCTTCAGAAAAAGCTAATAAACGTTTTTTCCAGGGGCAAGTTTGAATTGCGCAAGTGGTCAAGTAATTCCAATCATCTGTTACAACAAGTACCCCCAGAACACCGGCAATCCCAGCCAGTTACATTTGCTGAACATGGGTCGGAATATACAAAAGTTCTTGGACTGAACTGGGACCCAATAAACGACTCACTCAGTTACCAATACCAACCAAACCCAGTGAAATACAGTAAGCGTGCTGTGTTGTCAGAGATTGCCAGGATTTACGATCCTCTTGGACTATTGTCTCCAGTTACGACGGATCTCAAAAAGCTAATGAAATACCTTTGGCTAATGGAAGTGAGCTGGGATGAACCACTACCCGAAGATGCAGCAGCTGCATGGCTAAAATATCACCAAGAGTTACCGGTGCTAACGACCTTACGAATTAACCGGCACGTCACCCATCCTTACGCCACATACGAACTTCATGGGTTTAGTGACAGTTCGGAAGCAGCTTATGCTGCTGCGGTGTATTTACGCGTAACATTGGAGAACGAAGAATCGTATTGTCACCTCTTAATGGGCAAATCAAGGATAGCACCGGCGGCAAAAGTATCCATACCGCGATTGGAGTTATGCGGTGCTGGGCTTCTAGCACGATTGTTGTCTTTCATGCAAGCGAATATGACACTCAAGTTTGTAAGCGTAACGGCATGGACCGACTCTACTATAACCTTAGCTTGGATAAAGTCACCCACGGCTAAACTAAAGACATTTGTTGCTAACTGAGTAGCAAAAATCCAACAGTTGACTGACGTGAATATATGGCGCCATGTACCATCCGAGCTGAACCCAGCGGATTGTGCGTCACGTGGATTGTCTCCTAGGGAGCTATCTGACCATGCACTTTGGTGGAAAGGCCCAGAATTCCTTCGAAAACCGACAGATACCTGGCCGGACGAAGGAGTAATGACTACCGAAGCACGGCAAGATGAAGAAGGAGAGAAAAAACCAATTACTCTGATCACGCTGGTCAAAGCTGAGGAGTGCCCGATACTAAATCAGTCGGAAAATTTTCCCAAACTATTAAGACTTACGGCATATTGGTTACGATTAACCCTTTCGGGCCCAATGATGCCATATGGCATCATGGTTTATTTACAGTTTTTATTTTCTACTGTTATCAATTTTAATCCTAGAACAGTGTAGCCAAAACCAAAATATGCGTATTTTAGTTTTACACAATATAGAAAAAAAAATATGTTATCAACAATATTCTTTCCGATAAAAATTAAAAACCAAAAACTATTATTATGGCATAAAATCAATTTTGATAGAATTCTAAGGAAAAAAGCTTTTTACTAAAATTCGATATCTCTACCCGATCAATGTGTGGGCCTGAAAGGGTTAAAAGATCATTTTTTACATAAAACCAAGTTCCACAACCCTATACCAACCACAGAAGAAATTAACAGAGCATTGTTAGCCCAGGTGCGCTGGACTCAGCAAACATTCTTTGGAGAAGAGATACACCACCTGAAGAACAATAAAACATGCTCCGTCCGACTCCGAAAGTTGTCCCCATTTCTGGACGGTCAAAATTTAATCCGGGTGGGAGGTCGTCTAGTCCATGCGAACATTCCATACGCAGAAAAACACCCCCTGTTACTACCAAAATCCGCACGTTTGACCATGCTGTTAATTGATCACGCGCATCGTACCAATGGTCACCCGGGACCCCAAACGTTGCTAAATATTTTATGTCAAGAATACTGGATAATGTCAGCTCGCAGTATCGTCAAGAGCAGATTACATAAATGTATACCGTGCTTTCGTGCCAAACCACGGATTATACAGCCAATTATGGGAAATTTACCGAGACATCGAGTAAACGAAGTTAAGCCCTTTGGCAAGTCTGGTGTGGATTTTGCAGGGCCGTTCGAAGTAAAAGCTGCGATGTTGCGGAAAATTAAGGTTACTAAAGCCTACATCTGTATTTTCGTTTGCTTGGTAACAACCGCCGTCCACATCGAGTTAGTGTCCGACCTGTCTACCCCTATGTTTATTGCCGCTTTCAACCGATTCGTGTGCAGAAGGGGTAAATGTACAGATATATTCAGTGACTGTGGCACTAATTTTGTCGGAGCCCAGCGATATTTGAAACAAATCTATGATATGACCCGAGAGACGAGATTCATTCATAACATAAGTCACCATCAAATCCAATGGCATTTTAACCCGCCTGCTGCCCCTCATATGGGAGGTATATGGGAGGCAGCGGTGAAATCCGCCAAAACCTTGCTGCACCGAATCATATCTGATCGTGTTCTCACCTATGAGGAGTTGAACACTGTCCTTCATCAGGTAGACGCAACGCTCAACTCCAGGCCGTTAGGTGCCATGTCATCTGACCCAAGTGACTTCAAGACTCTCACCGCTGGACATTTTCTTACCATGGGACCACTCGTCACCTTGCCATCGCCTGAAGAACTGACTAACCCTACGGCCTCCATAAGCCCTCGAAACCGTTGGTCACTTATTCAGCAGATTCATCAACACTTCTGGTTACGTTGGAACAAAGAATACCTCCATACACTGCAAGAGCGACCGAAATGGGCTCATCAAAATGTAAACTTGCAAGAGAATGATTTGGTTATTGTTAGAGAACCTTCCCCCCCACTAACTTGGATTACAGCACGAGTAGTCGAAGTGCACCCTGGCACAGATGGAGTCGTCAGAGTAGCAAAAGTAAAAACAGCACAGGGAAAGCTCCTTACTCGACCGGTGGTCAAGCTCTGTCCATTACCTTTGAGAAATTGAAGGTTCGTCCCTTCAAGGTGGCCGGCATGTTCAAACATATCTATGCAGCTTATCACTCAGTGATAAGCTGATCGCGCACACCGCACTCATACACACACACACACACATACATACGAAAGCGACCGCCGATCAGTAACGACCGTACCACCAAGTCGACAGTGCGCCCGTGTGCAGTCCCTGTTAACTTAAAGTCAAGACCACCGTTATCCGTCACCCATCTACCGTCTACCGTCCACCGTTATTGTCACCGTCTACCGTCATCCGTCACCTACTCACCGTCATCCGTCACCTACTCACCGTCTACCTGTACCTGTTTACCATCAACCGTCAGCCGGGACTGCAGCCGCCGTCACGGTTTTTATGTCTATACTTTTATATACCTTATTTATTTATACTCAATTATTGTAGCGTTAGTTAATTATTCCCCTTTGCTGGCCAGCACCTTTTGTGCCACTTATACAACATTTACCTATATTTTTTTCTTGTTTAATAGTAAGCCGCAAACCGGCATTGATTTGTATCTTATCGAGTATGATTTATTGCGTAGCCTTTACCTGACCAAAAAAAATACAGTCCACTTCATCCTTCGATACCAAACACTACCCAACACTAAAAATATTATATGAACATAAACGTGTTTCAGATAATTTAAGAGGACCACAATGGGTGTTAATTTTAATTAATAAAGGGTAGCTCATATATAAAAACTCCAGATGGAAAAGCTAATAGAAAGTCAGTTTTAAATGTAAAAAATGAAAAAGATAATAAATGTTTTTTAATGTCGATTTTAGCTCATTTGTATCCAGTTGAACATATATTTATCATCCACAAAGAGTAGAGAAATATAGAGAATATGGAAATATATTTGATGAAGTAAAAATTGAGTATCCGATGATAGTTAGTAAAATTCCTAGTTTTGTAAACAGCGTGATGGGAAAAAGTTTATTGAAGGCGGATTATCTATTAATGTTTATCATCATGATGAAGATTATAAAATAACACCACTATCTCTAACGAAATATGAGAAAGAAGTACATATTAATTTATTATTTTTGAAAGATGGAGATAATACACATTATTTTTTAATAAAAAATGTATGGGGATTAGTTAAGAGTCAAATTACAAAAAAATTTGAAAAAGAGGTATCTTTGTAGAATGTGTTTAAACAGTTTTCAAACCATGGGAAAATTATAAGATCAAAAGAGTTACTGTATATTAAATAAGGCATCAAAATTAGAAATGCCGAATAAAATTGAAAACATTGTTAAGTTCAAAAATTTTAATCACAAAATGAAAGTACCTTTTGTTATTTCCCCAGATTTTGAAAGTGTTATAAGACAGATAAATAAGGGTCGCTTTCACCAATACTTTAAACTCCAATTAAAGTTAATCCGGGGTTTAATCGGCCGAATTTGCCCGGTTAAATATCTGTTATCAGTCGATTAAGCGTAATCGAAGTTTAAAGTATTTGGTGAAAGCGGCCCTTAGAGAAAGAAAAATTGTAGTACAGTTAAAATTCAGAAACATATTGCAATAAGTTTTGTTTATATTATTGTATATGCAGTGGCGTATTTAGGAATTTGTCATGGGGAGGGTCCAGATAATTTTCAGAACACAGAGCCACGGCCCACAGGGGACGAAGTCCCCAACACCACCCATTTACTCTTTATTCAATAAAATATACCATATTTATAAGACGATATAAAATTTTTGAGTTTTTAATTATTAAATAATAATATGTACAAAACAAATTTAATAAAAAGCGTTTAAGTGGATGTCACTCTGCTGCTGTACAGTAGGTTACAAGTAGGTCAATGTATAATGGATTGTATTAAACTTGAACTCAATGATATAATATCATAATATCATTGTATAAGAAAAACGATTCTGAGCGAAGGCGGTTTGTCAGTCTGGATATTTTATATTGTTATTATTTATAATAGCCTGTAAGTTGAATTAATAATGAAATATTTTTTTTTTATTCTCTTCTATGGTGATAGACAAAGTGTTAATTAAAATCCCATTTTTAGCGGTTTTTCGTAATTTTTTGGTGGTTTTTACAGTGGCATGAAATAACTATTGGGAAAATCGAAAAATTACCTCTCTAAAGTACTATCTTGATCCAATTTTCTAAAAGATAAGTTACTATATGTCTATACATGTTGAAATCGAAGCACTATTTCTGGAAGAAATTTTGTATACTTGAAAAATAAAAAAACATCATTGTAAAACCAAAGATCCCTCAGAATCGAATATATAGTTATGTTATAACTTTTATACAAATATTTCCTTAATTACATTAGGTACCTACTTCATTCATAGTTGATCTTAGATAGCTTTTCATACTTAAAAAGATGGAAAAAGATCTCTCTGGAGTGGTTGTAGATACTGGCAATGTACAAAACTACAAAATATTTGAATTAAAAAATGAACTTGGTATTTTTCAACCGTTTTCGGTATCCAACTGATAAAAATAATCAAGATATTTATTAAAAATGTTGATATAACTATAGCTTCGAAAATTTTTTATAAAATCCGTAAAATCGTATGAAAAAATTTGTTTTTAGATTCTGAGCGGAGCGATGAATGTATTGGTTTTACAATGATGTGTGTTTTTATATTTTTTTATTTTAGATTCTGAGCGGAGCGATGAATGTATTGGTTTTACAATGATGTATGTTTTTATATTTTTTTTTATATTTTTGTGTCTGTCATCACGTTTTAGGACAGTAAAAGTGCTTGGATTTTCTTCATCAGTAGCTTTTCTGATAGGAAAGTGAATCTAGTTGGTACTTTGGGGGGGGGGGTCAAAAGTATAAATTTCCCAGTAGTTTTCACAAGCGCCGGGAAAAACAACATAAAAATTAAGGAAAAACGGGAATTTTTACGCAAAATTGGTTTTCCAAAAAATCGATTTTGGTTATTGGTGTAACTCTAAAACAAATGAACGTATATACATGAAATTTTCA